ATTCAAAGGCAGGTTTGAGTAGATTTTTTCTGCGTTATGACTTAGGTTGAACCGAAATTCCATGTACCCCATCCCCCTTTGTAGGGGGATGGGTAGAGGGGTCAGGGGTTCGGAAATATTAATGTTTATGTGTGTGTGTGTGTGTGTGTGTGTGTGTATGGTTTACGTTCTGCATTCTATGTTGTTGGACCATATGTGCTATTTATGCTTGGAATCTTTTGTCTCAATCATTTCAATCCTATGATATAGGAAAATCGTGTTCACATGCTAAGGAAAGAAGTTGATCAGTGTGTTAAAATGGCGGAATTGATAGAATATAATTTAGATGATGTGGATGCTGCTATAGTAGCTGTTCGTGTAGCTTTAGCAAAGGGCACAAGTTGGGAGGATATTGCTAGAATGGTGAAGGAGGAGAAGAAACATGGAAACCCTGTTGCTAGCCTCATTGACAAGCTTCAGCTTGAAAAGAATTGCATGACATTGCTGCTGAGCAACAATCTTGATGAAATGGATGATGATGAGAAGACTCTCCCTGCAGATAAGGTTTGTTTGAATGTTCTATTTTTCTACATCTTCACTAGAATAAAACGATGAGTCTCTTCATCTTACCTTCTACTTCCATCACCTTTCTTCTCTATTATAGGTGGAAGTTGATTTAGCACTTTCAGCACATGCCAATGCTCGGCGGTGGTATGAACTAAAGAAAAAACAGGAGAGCAAACAGGAGAAGACTGTAACAGCACATGAAAAAGCATTTAAGGCGGCGGAGAAAAAGACTCGTCTCCAGCTGTCACAGGTAGCTTCAGCTTCCATAGTCTTATGATTTAGTTTTAAATGGCTAGCCTGCAAATATAAAATGCAAATCAGTTATTTTAGCCTTTTAGCACAACCATGTTTTTGTGATGGTATTCATCCAACTGCTAAGTAGAAGCTGTAGCATGTTTAGCACAATAGAATTTTCAAGGCAGGGTGTCATAAATATAAGGACAGAATAATAGGGATTCAGAAAATATATACTGTGTGATAAGAGCAGTATGTCAACACATGCAACCGAAACACGAAGCATATATTTGTAGACGTACAAAAATATGTATACAAGGAAAAACAGAATTATTTATAAGAGGAGAAGCATAATTAGCTGTAGATTTTTGTCACCATTATCCAATATAATCTTAGAAGATAGCTGTCTTTGATTTTTTAATTCCACTTTGTTTCAAATAACTTGCAGGAAAAAGCTGTTGCTAGCATTTCACATATGCGCAAGGTTCACTGGTTTGAGAAATTTAACTGGTTCATCAGCAGTGAGAACTATTTGATTATCAGTGGACGTGATGCTCAACAAAATGAGATGATAGTCAAGCGCTATATGTCAAAAGGAGATCTGTAAGTCAATTTAGTTACGTGGACAGAATACATTTTAGTTCTTGTCTAAATGATCTAGCACTGCGAAACAATAATTATAGATTTAAATAATACACTTACTGTGATTTATTTATTTTTTTTGAAAGGAAACGAAAGAATTTTTAAAAAAGGAAAGAATTTACAAAAGAGGAAAAGAAAACCACGTGGAAAAGATATCCACCTGGAGCTAGAAGTAAACTAGCAAGGACCCCTACTGAAAACTAATTGAACAGAGGAAAAGCTAAACCGAATCAATTAACAGCTGCTAACAAATCCCTAAATATAGAAGAGAGATTGTAATCTCTAAACTCCACTGAAACTGAAGCCCAAGGGGCTGCCCAGTATCTTACTCTATCCCAAGCTCCTCTACCCGCACTCCCTTGTAATCCTCAAAGACACTTACTGTGATTTATGATTATTTATGATTGTTCTTATAGTGTGTGGGAAAATTCTTCCTGAAGCTTGTATCCATCATTTAGTTTTGTTTGTCTTACAATTTTGTATGTCCTTCGTATTGGTCACTGGAAGTGTCTACATGTTTCTTGTCTATGGTTGCCTCCTCGAGAAACTCCTCTGCTATTGGCGATTGATAATTCTTGTTCCCTTTCTATATAAGTTTCTTTTATTAAATTTTATTTTTTATTTTTTATTTTTTTATAATATCTTGTTTTTTTTATTTGGATTTCTATTCTTTTTTCCTCATCCAGTGACTTTGGACTTTCTTCTTTTTATCCTCCCTAGAATTTTCCCCCTTTCGTGATTTCACATCTTCATGCTACTTCAAGAGAAATGAAAGGAAATAAGCTTATAAATGGAGCTGACAAAATTTATTATTGCCACATTGATATGAGATAGGAATTCTTGGTTGGTCAATTTCACATTTCCAAGAATCTTTAGTTTATCTCAAAGTTATTACAAATATGCCAATAAGTAGCTGCTTATTTCATTTAGTGTGAAACCAACTTAGCATCTTCTTTCTCATGTTGATTGATTTTTTTAAAAAAAAAAACAGGTATGTTCATGCGGAGTTGCATGGGGCTTCCAGCACCGTGATAAAGAACCATAGGCCTGACCAACCAGTGCCTCCACTTACATTGAACCAAGCAGGATGCTTCACAGTAAGTCACAGACCTCCATGTAATGCTTTTGTTTTCATATTAGTTTATTGTGTTATTGTGAGTGCTTCATATCACTGGATGTGTAATTACTGAATAGTTAACTGATTTATGCTCTAGGTTTGCCACAGTGCAGCATGGGATTCAAAGATTGTCACTAGTGCGTGGTGGGTTCATCCTCACCAGGTCAGTAAAACTGCTCCTACTGGGGAGTATCTGACAGTTGGAAGTTTTATGATTCGTGGGAAGAAGAATTTTCTTCCTCCACACCCTCTAATTATGGGCTTTGGGTTGTTATTTCGCTTGGACGAGAGCTCATTGGGCTCCCATCTGAATGAGAGGAGGGTAAGAGGTGAGGAGGAAGGGACGAATGATGTTGATGAAAATGGACCTCTAGAAGAGGTATCTGATTCTGAGTCAGAGAATGAAACCGTAGAGGAAAAACTTGCAGAAGAACCAAAACCTGCTCCTGATTCATCTATACATATTGATAAACCAGATCTGAAAGACCCATCTGGGAATGGCTTACTTACAAGCAATGCTGAAGCAAAAGACTCGGCTGAAATTCCCACGAAAGAAAAGAAGACCTTGAGTGATGCTGATATTTCTGTAAATGGTGTTTCATCTGTCACCCCAGAACTTGAGGATCTCATTGATATAGCTCTTGGGCTTGGATCTACAGCTATGTCTGCTAAAAAATATCAAATTGACACTTCTCCCGTTGATTTGGTAGCAGAACCTAATGTTGAGGAGAATAAGGCTACAGGAAGAGAGAAACCTCATATTTCAAGAGCTGAAAGAAGAAAGCTCAAGAAAGGACAGACTGGTTGTGCTCATGAAGAACAAGCTGATCTGCAAAACGAAAAATTGAAACAACATGAGAGTTCAGTCAGTCAGCCAGAAGAGGAAGTTCATGAGAAGAAGCCTAGTGGTGGAAAAACCAGCCGATCAAAACAACACAATATTTCTGTCAGACAGACCGAAAATGAAGTTCATGATAAGAAGCCAAGTAGTGGAAAAGCCAGCCGTGGACAAAAGGGTAAACTCAAGAAGATGAAAGAGAAGTATGCCGACCAGGATGAGGAAGAAAGAAGGATCCGTATGGCTTTGCTAGCTGTGAGTAAAGTTACTTGCAGCATTCTTATATTTATAACCAATTGGTTTTCTGTAGCCCTTAATTCATCTTTTCTAAATTTAAGCTTTGATGCCTCTTACACTTGATGCATAATTTCGTGCTTTTTCGTACACATGCATCCGCATCTATGCATGTGCACTAGTTATAGAACTTTCATTCTAATATTTTCTCACAAATGAACTGCAAACGTATAACTGTATCCATAACAACATCCTTCAGAATTTTCCTATGATTTTTTTGAAGTTACTCCATTTTTTTGCTCAAGAAACCTAATAATAGATCTAAATGACAATATTTGTGAATTTCAGTCTGCTGGAAGAGTACAGAAGAGTGGAGAGTCCCAAAATGAAAATTCAGCTCTGGCTGAAGATAAGAAACTGAGTATGTCATCCTCATTCTTCATGTTTCATCAGCATTTTAAACTTCCAAGGCCATAGACCATCTGTGCTGGTTATTTCTCTCTAGTATCATATAATGGAAGTCCATTGAGTTTTTGTGGTTAACGTCAATTCTTATTAATCTAGCAGGTCCTGTCGATGCTCCAAAAATATGTTATAAATGTAAAAAGGTAGGTCATCTGTCCCGGGATTGTCCAGAACATCAAGATGGTACGTTACATAGTCATGCAAATGGAGTTGAAGATGACCCTCCTGTGGGTTTGGATAAATCTACTTCTGAAGTTGACAAGGTGACAATGGAGGAGGATGATATTCATGAGATAGGTGAAGAGGAGAAGGAGAAATTAAACGATGTCGATTACTTGACGGGCAATCCACTGCCCAGTGATATTCTCTTATATGCGGTGCCTGTCTGTGGTCCTTATAGCTCCGTCCAGTCTTATAAATATCATGTGAAGATAGTTCCAGGCTCTGTGAAGAGGGGGAAAGGTAAAGAACTTCTCGCTTGAATTTGTCTGCAAACTTTTAAAGTACCTGCAATGCTAGGATAGAAAATTATCTTCTCGTTTCCCTTACGTGTGGTTTTTTTTGGTTCAAGTGCTTTTATCGCATCGGTTGACCTCTTTCTTGAATTCTTTTTTGTAGCTGCGAAAACTGCCATGAATTTGTTTAGCCACAGGCCGGAAGCAACGGTTAGAGAGAAAGAGTTGATGAAAGCATGTACTGATCCTGAGCTGGTTGCTGCAATTATCGGCAATGTGAAGATAACATCTGCAGGCCTCACTCAGTTGAAGCAGAAGCAGAAGAAAGTCAAGAAGAGCAGCAGCAAAGCTAAGTAGGTGGCCTAAACAGCTTCATGCTGCGTCGACGTTTTGAAAACACAGACCACACTCGTTTTCTCTGTTTGGACCTGTCTCGGATGTGTTACGCCAGTATACTCTCTACTGTACAAAAGCAGAACAATGATGTTTCCATTTTCCATAGCTAGCCATATGCATAAACGGTTTTGTTAAAGCAATGTGATTGTGTATTAGCATCACAGGCAGTCTGGGGTATGAGCTTTTACAAACAATTTCTACAAGAAAATTAAAGCGGGAAAAACCCCGAAAAAGCTGAGGAACATTTACGCCTCAGTCAGTCACTTCAGCCGGGGGAACGTCGCTCAAATCTAAACCCTCGACTGGCAAGTCCGAAGTGAGAGGACCCAAGATTCCGTCGGAGCTGAGGGTTAACCCACTCTGCAAAATTAAGGAAAAAAGCGTAAGGTTTAACAAACACGCCAATTTGGCTCCGCTAATCAGCCCTAAAAGCTGATTCAAGTACATTCAACTCTGGTTTCCTAGTCTGGTTTTTCCATTTGGCATTCAGAGCAAGTTTAATGAAATAATAAATCAGCAAGTACCTCCGGCTGGAAACGGAGCATGTCCGCACGAGCCATAGCTTCCGCTTGAGCAATTCTCTGCCGGAATGTCTGTGCCATCTCCTCCGCCTAATAGAACAGAATAAAAAAACATACAAATAAGTCATTTATCTGGTTTCAGGAAAGGTAACAAGGACATAACAGGAGAAAACACAAGAAGAAAAGAAGATTGACCTTCACTGCTACAACTTAGTATTCGCCATTCGGTTAGTGAAACTAGTAAAGATGTTAAGAGGTAATTGTACAGAAAATACCTTCTCAAATACAAGCTTTGGATTGCGAATCATGTCACCGGGAGTAGGTTCTAACTTCTTGGTAGAAAGACTTACACGGCCTCTCTCACGGTCATGGCTCAATATCATGACCTACAAAAAAATAGTATAAATTTAGAAATGTTTTAACAGTGGCAAAAGACTATCAGCCAATAACTTGCCAAGGATATAGTATCTAGACCTTGAGAGTGTCACCAGGTTGGAGAACTGTCGCAATATCAGAGACTCGGTCATGACTGATCTGACTAACATGAAGAAGGCCGTTGATTCCACCAATGTCGATAAAGGCACCATATGGCTTCAAGCTCTGAACAGTACCAAGGACAACTGACCCAATTCCAAGCTGTGCTTGGTTGTCTGCCACGGCCTTGCGGTTACTGAGGACAAGCCTAGACTGTTCTTCATCAACCTCCACAAACTTCAGAGGAATCTCCTTTTCAAGAAGATCTTCGGCAGTTGATTTCTAATATATAAAAGTAAATGTGGTTCAGATACTGAAGCATTTAGTGTTAACAGTAATTCGAACTCAGAACCATGCCAATGACAGCAATGCATGCCGGATAGAAAAGAATTTTGGAAGGAAGAAGCATAATGTTATGGACTGCCTGTTTATTTCATGGACTACCACACAAGCAAATGCAATCAGAAAGATGGCGTAAGTATCAACTAAGAAGAGAATTGGAAATCTAGAAGGGAGGTTAAAGGACTAACTGTTGATATCTGGGAGAAAGGAACAAAACCTCTAAGGCCTTCCACCACGGCCACCACTCCACCTTTATTCGCACCAACAACCTGAACAAATACATTTTAGAGCGCTATTTGTCTGAAAATTACAATCATACTCATGATGCTTGGAAATATATACCAATTCTAACATTCCAGGCAAGAAACCAAGGTAAGAAGATACTTACCTTACCCTTGACAACAACATCCTCAGCTTGGAGCTGTCTACATCTTTCCCATGCTAGGTCATACTGGATGGACTTTAAGCTCAAGATCAAGCTATCGTCAGCTTCGTTTTCACCAATAATCACAAACTCCTCTCTCACTCCGGGAACTATGCCCACTTCTTCTACACTCTTTATTTTGTGAATGCATGCCTCTTCAAGAGGCAAGTATGCTGAAGATTTTGCAGTAATGTCAACTAATGCTCCATTGTTATCTATATTGAAAACTGTTCCCCTCACCTGAAAAAAAACAACCACAAAACAAAGCCGTGTGCTCAAATTTAAAATCTCCCGCAGGATAACAAAGAAACTACATATGCTGTAAACAGTTACAGGTACTCACTGTAAACCTATATGCCAAGTCAAAAAAATGAATTGAAGAAAAGCTCAAAACCGAAAAATCCGCAGGCATTGCCCAATGACAAAGTAGTGCCATTTCCAACACTTAATGCAATTGTAGATTCTACACATAAAAGAAGAAAAATAGTTCTTCTGGGTATGGAATGTGAGCCCAATGACACAGACCAAGTCTCGAATTCGATACAAAAAGACATAACTTCTTCGTTTCAGCTCATACCCATCAAACCATTTTCACCTTTAATCAAAAGGATTTTTTAAAATAAAAAAAAAGAACCAAATTTGAATTACCAAAAGGAGAGGGTGAGAGGCAGACCTTAGTTCCAATCTCAGAATTGAAGTCGTACTTCTCGAGAGCGTTGTAAAAGGAGTCAAGAGTGAAAGAGACACCTTCCATGGGGGCAGTACGACACCGTTCGTGAGCATCCTCGAAGATTTCCTTGAGCTTGAGGCGCTCTTTGGTCTGTGCATTCGAGATGACCGCGGCGGAGACGATGGGGAGCAAACCAGGCATTTTGTTTTGCTTCGGCAGGATTGAGGGCTTCGAGAGCCTCGAGGTGGAGAGCGGTGAGCATCTTAAGCCTGTGAATTGCTGAGCCAGAGACGCCATGGCTGTCTCTCTCTCTTGTTTTGTGTTGCTTTGCTCGCAGTGTGGCTTTTCAGGAAGTTGAGTTTTTTGGTTTTGCTGATAAGGCAACTGATGGGAGAGAGAGAGAGAGAGGGTTGCATGGATTTTGGACAATGTGATTGTGTTGAAGTTTATGGGTCATGGTGAAAGATGGGCCCATGTAATTGGATCTAGATCCTCCCTAAATTTGGGCTGTCATGATCCACAAGGACAGTCAGGGCAACAAATGAGAGACTCGATCGAGACTTCAGTGCACTATTATCATACCGTCCTGAACTAATAATATAATACTTTATTAGCGTCAAAACACATAATATTTATTATTGGCATGAATTTCACAATGGCGTTCAGAATGAGAGGAATTTGTTTAAAATAAATACACAATTACAGTGGCGTCTCGTACCAATAATATAATGATGCGTTCATTTTTTGCTCTATATCTTCGCATTATGAAGATAGGATGTATTTCTTGGTGCACCGTACGAGTCATTCTCATAATGAAGAGCGTATAGAAGTCCTTTCCGAACAAAGATGGGTTTTTCAGTGAACCCCAAAAGGTAGTTAGTAACGTATTCGGCATGAGGCAGCTGTGTGAAAGAAGAATGAAGCCATATTATTCATAGTCTTAACAAATTCATAAAAGCTGACGTTGACTGTCAAGCAGCACCAGTGGTCTAGTGGTAGAATAGTACCCTGCCACGGTACAGACCCGGGTTCGATTCCCGGCTGGTGCAATTTTTTTTGTCTTCCGTCAAAGTTCTTGCTCCCTCAATAACATTTTTGTTATGGGAACAAAATCCAACAACATAATTTAGAAAAATCTCAAAATTGTCTATTAAAAACCATCTTTTGAGTCACTCAGTGGTACGGTCTGGTGGTATTCCTTTTCAAGTTGTCTTCCGTCAAAGTTCTTGCTCCCTCAATAGCATTTTTGTTAAGGGAACAAAATCCAACAACATAATTTAGAAAAATCTCAAAATTGTCTATTAAAAACCATCTTTTGAGTCACTCAGTGGTACAGTCTGGTGGTATTCATTTTCACTTGAAAGTGAAAGGTCTTAGGTTCGAACTTCTTCAACTTTTTCAAATTATTTAAATTTTGATTCTAATTGAATATACCTGGAATGTTATAAACTTCTTTATAATTCTAATTGAATACACTCAGATTTCTAAGGATTTTAATAAACTATATTTCTAAGGATTTTAATAAACTATCTTAAAATCCTTAAAATCCTGATTGAATACACATTAAATTTCAAAGAATCACTTAATATCCTGATTGAATACCCCTGAATCCATAAAAAGAATTAAAATCCTTCAAAATCTCAATTGAATACATCACACTAATAACACATTAGGGAAATAATCAACAACATTATCTTGCTCCAATTATAATAAAAATGTCAAAATTGTCTATTAAAAATCATATCGTCTGGGTTTGAATTCTCAAAATTGTCTATTAAAAACCATATCTTCTGAGTTTGAATTCTCTTTGATTATACGTACAACACAAACTTAAAAACTTAATAACACATTCAAATCCCGCTTTCCGTACGTTAAGATATTGCCAGTTTAATCTATTGTAAAAAAAATAAATTCTGGCGTTCATTCAATCGGAGTACCTGTCCAAACTCCAACCAAACGAAGCACTATTCTCTATATAGTTTTCATCAGCACTGACCGACCACCTGAAAATGAAAAAGAATAAAGAAAAACCCTAATTCAAAGGCTAAAATCCTTTCCTTCTCCGTCGACCTTGTAGTTTTTAGAGAGCCGCCCACCTCTTCCAGAAAAGTTGCTTCAGAAGTATTTGGGCAGATTCCCACTATTTCATGCCACCTTTTACACTTGTTTGCAGATTACTAAAACAAGAATATCCCTGTCTTAGCTAGTTAGAACTGGTAGGAATCAAAGAATAAAAGGGTAGGAATCAAAGAATAAAAAATGAGCATGACATTTCGGAAAGTTATCATGCTGCAATTTTGTAATAAACTTTGGATCATCGATTAGGTTATTCAAACTGCATGCAGACTTTGAAACTGGATTATTTTGGTGTTAATATTTAAACTTAACTGTTTAGTTACTAATCTTTGTACCATAACCTTCATTGGCTAATCAGACCTCTCACCCCACTAATACTAAACCCCTTCTGCAGATAAAAAGTTAATACAATCCTAGTTAACAACTTGCTCCATTAAACTTATAAATTATAATATTAGGGTCTTTCAACCGTGTGGAACAATTTGTTCTTCAAAATCAAAACTAAAAAAAATATGCTCGATCCAAGTATCTTTGCCTTTGCTTTCATCATGTTTTTTGCTGCTTTCATTTGTTGTATTTGTAAATGACAAGATTAGATTCTTTACCAAATCGAATGGAAAGAAACCCTTTAGGAAATGGGAATATATATTTTCCCCTTACTAATTGATGGAGTATAAACTATAAACTTTTATGGGAAGCAGAACAATTCAAGAGAAAATGATACTCATATATTCAAATTAGTTGTATGGTAAGTATGAATGTTCAAGCACACATCACTAAAAGCAACTTGATGATATAAGACAATATAGTGGTTTGTGCAGTATTAAGTTATATAGCGGTTTGTGCTTGAAAGTAACGCAAACTAAAATGGAACGACTCAAATAATTAAAAGATATAATAAAATATGACTCGTTCTATGGGAAGTTTGAACTCATTTTCTTATTTATATATATATACACACACACACACACACAAGAAAATCAAACCTAAAAACTTGATGTATAGACAAATATTTTTAACCATTTTAGTCATAATACATATATACGTTCTATATTTAATGGCTTTCAGTTAAAATTATGTTATCACCTTCCATAAGGGAGTGCAGTTATTATGTTGTCACCTTCCATAGGGGAGTGCAGTTAAGAGTATGTTCTAAGGAAACGAATTGTTGAGATCAAAATGGAAACTGAAACAAATTACACAGAATAATCTGAACTGTATCTTTCAAGAGCATCACATAGGACTAACTGAAATTGATTTGTGACATTTATTATTTGGGATTTTAATGAATTTCGAATTGAACAGAAAATCTCTAAAATTTAGATCACTCAACATCCTAAATTGATCGAGGATCAGAAATATGATCGGGCTAGTTTAACTTCTCTCCAAAGAAAAGATAAGTAACAGATAAAGGGAACAAAAAAAGAATATACAAGATTGCACACGATTATATCCAATGAGAACAATATTCTTTAGTGCTATACATCCATTTTTACCTTCCACACACACTTTTTAATTTTTCATCATTGATCATCTTCAATTCAATCGTCCGACGACCGAAAATTGAGAGACGTGTGTGAAAAATAAAAATAGTTGTGTGAATAGCTCTACCCTATTCTTTTGATGACTAGTTTCATATGAAAATTGTTTATTGGATGATATTTGCATGCATGACATATATATGGCTTCTGAATTTGCATGCCATGTTGTAGTTCTCTGTAGTTTTCGAGCAAGATTTGTTTAGTCCGAGTCCGAGGACCTCCGAATCTCAATCAACAACAACAACAACAACAACAACAAAGCCTTTTCCCACTAAGTGGGGTCGGCTATATGAATCCTAGAACGTCATTGCGCTCGGTTTTGTGTCATGTCCTCCGTTAGATCCAAGTACTCAAGTCTTTTCCTAGGGTCTCTTCCAAAGTTTTCCTAGGTCTTTCTCTACCCCTTCGGCCCTGAACCTCTGTCCCGTAGTCACATTTTCGAACCGGAGCGTCAGTAGGCCTTCTTTGCACATGTCCAAACCACTGGAACCGATTTTCTCTCATATTTCCTTCAATTTTGGCTACTCCTACTTTACCTCGGATATCCTCATTCCCAATCTTATCCTTTCTCGTGTGCCCATACATCCCACGAAGCATCCTCATCTCCGCTACACCCATTATGTGTACGTGTTGATGCTTCACCACCCAACATTCTGTGCCATACAACATCGCGGCCTTATTGCCGTCCTATAAAATTTTCCCTTGAGCTTCAGTGGCCTACGACGGTCACACAACACGCCGGATGCACTCTTACACTTCATCCATCCAGCTTGTATTCTATGGTTGAGATCTCCATCTAAGTCTCCGTTCTCTTGCAAGATAGATCCTAGATAGCGAAAACGATCACTTTTTGTGATCTTCGCTAGATTGCTCCGGTCATTAGTGTGGATAAATATATAAATGGATAGAGATAGGAAATCAAACACAAGATGTACGTGGTTCACCCAGATTGGCTACGTCCACGGAATAGAGGAGTTCTCATTAATTGTGAAGGGTTTACACAAGTACATAGGTTCAAGCTCTCCTTTAGTGAGTACAAAGTGAATGATTTAGTACAAATGACATTAGGAAATATTGTGGGAGAATGATCTCGTAACCACGAAACTTCTAAGTACCGGAGTGTGGTATTTTCTTGACTTGCCTTATCTGTCTCATAGGTAGATGTGGCATCTTCTCTAGAAGTACTCTTCCTCCATCCAGGGGTGGTATCTGTAACTGGTGGAGATGCACAAGGTAATGTATCAATTTCACTTGAAGCTTACTTGTAGTTTCAGGCTTGGTCAAGCGCGATACAAAACCATGTAGTAGTAGGAGTCCCCCAAGTCGCCGAGCTAGGGGATCTGCTGAAAGAGGTGACAGACAAGGTAAGCAATCAGAGCTCCGGCTGATTGTTCACATTCTCCCTATCTTGCAGGCAGCATGAAGGATAAAGAGAAGAAAAATGAGAAGAGATGATATGGGATACTTTTGCTTTTGAAGAAGTAACTTTCCACAGGCTTATTCTTGAACTGGGCTGGAGGGTTTTCTGGTTTCCTCCAGAGTTTAAGGCCGATTGAAGAATTTGAGGGTCAAAACAAGTCCATCAAATCTAGAGTGCGTTCGACCCTGCTGATATGGGATACTTTTGCTTTTGACAGAGTAGTGGATGTATCGGCACGTGTGCTGTTACGCTTGTCTCCACATGCTTCCTTGTATCCTTCTCACTTGCCCTATCTGTTTCTCAGGCAGATGCGGTATCTTCCCTGGAAGCATAAGATGTTGAAGATGAGTACTC